CAGTGAGGAGCTTCGTCAGCAACAACATAGAATACAGAACCAAGCAGGCTCAGGAGATGGTGGCAGAACTTTGAACCATACATAAAGGAATATTTAGAAGGTTGGAAGGCTTACAGCCAGGGGAATTTGTAGCAGAAGCAAGAAATCCATTGCTTTCTAATTCAAGATGCTCAGCTGCTCCCGGAGCTGCCATCTTAGGCAAGACCAAGCAGGGGAAGGATCAGAGGAGCCACAGACACCTGACAGAACTGCGGAGATAAAGGTGTGGACACTCTTTTTTTTTTTTTTAATCTGTTCATTGGTCTCTCGCTGCGCACCTCCATTCTGGTGACTAGAGAGGGTGCCTGAGTGAGTAAACACCCCACATCCACCCCCAGAGGGTTCTACTATGCAAGTGCACGAACCTCCTCGAAATTTAAAGTGACAGTTTCCTCTTAAAATTAAATGGCATTGCAAAATGGCAACAGCTGGTCCTGAACTGTTTATCACAAGGAAAAAGGCCTGAACTGGGGGTGCTGAGCAGAACAGGTAGACTAAAAAGGAAACAGGCTGAAAATTAAATCCTGAGTTAACGTCATAACAACCAACAGTGGAATCTTGAAATTTCTCAGGAAGAAGAATGAAAAGGAATCCTATTTCCTGATCACATCTACCTGGAGGCATTCAGAAAGCATAAAAAAAACGCCAAAATACACACCCATGTAAGATTTAAGGCCACATATAACTGCTGAATATGCCCAAAAAAGCAGAAACAGATGACCACATCAGCACACGTCCAGAAACGAGATAAAGTCACTGAGACGAATGAGCTGAAGGTAGACCTACATACCATACTGGAAGGAGGGCAGGCCTTGGAAATGCCTGAGAAGGAATTCAGAAAAATAATTATAAAATGTATCAAAACACTTTACAATGAGTTGAGAAAAATAAGGAAGAATTCAGGAAAGCACTACAGGAACAATCAAGTAATATAATACAGCATTGGAAACAATTCAAAACCTCCAGAAAGATGTCCAAACAATTAATAATAGAATGTCAGAAATGGATAATAGATTGAAAGGGTAAAGGAGTAGAATTGAAGGGATGGAAGCCAGAACTAGTGAGCTAGAAGATAAAGCTGACAACACTACTAAGATAGAAGAGCAAGCACAAAAAATGATTTAAAAATCTGAAGAAGGCCTAAGATTCATGTTGGACAACATGAAGAGGAATAACTTAAGAATAATCAGCATTCTGGAACAGGAAGAATCACACAGGTCCACAGTAGAGATTGTTGAAGAGCTTCTGGAAGAAATTTTCCCAAACTGATAAGCATTCAAAAAGCTCAACGAATCCCAGGCAGGATAGACCCTAAAAGACAATCACCAAGACATATAATAATCAAGGTCTCCAAAATCAAATACAAGGACAGAATCTTGAAAGCAGTTAGGGAAAAGAGAAGTGTAACATACAAAAGCAAGCCAATCAGATTAAGCTCAGATTTCTCAACAGAAACCATGCAGGCAAGAAGGCAATGCGGAGACATACATAAAACCCTGAAAGAAAAAAAAAACCTGCCACCCCAAAATCCTTTACCCAGCAAAGCTGTCAAACAAATACAATGGTGTAATCAAAACATTCCAGGATAAACAGAAGCTTAGGGATTTTGTCAAAGCCAACCCTGTTATGAAAAACATCCTAAAGTAAGTTCTGTGGACTGAGAACCAACAATAACAGACAACAACCAGAGAATGAGGTATGTGTCAGCATCACCCTGAACTCAGTCGACAAATGGAAGTGTCAAGAACAGAATAAAATGATAAGAACAGAGGATTTGAGAGGTCAGTCTATGATCTAAACAATTACAATGTGAAAGAAGGTAAACACAGAGGAACAGAGATCCAGGTGGTGTGAAAATCAGGTAGATTGCAGGATAAAATAGACTATCTTAAATGGAGGGAAGAGCTAATGGAATATAAGGTAACCACAACAGCGGGGTTGGGGTGAGGGGTTTAGTTCAGATGTTGGGGAGGGCAATACAAGAAGGGGGAGGAAGGGGAAGAACAAGATATATAGGGGAACACTGAGACAGGTTTGCATGGGCTAAGTGTAAATAATGATGCATACTCAACCTTGGAACAACAGGGCTCTGTGATACAGGGATCTAGGCATAGTTTGAAGAGTGGAAATAATACTAAAATGCTTCACTGTCTTATGAATATTGATTTCCCTTGCCTACTATTGTAACATAGACATATGAGTGGGATACAAAGGAATATTGAGAAACATGATTACAGAAAACTTGTAAGCCCGTCATTAGCCTATAACTGGTTGGAATACCTAAAAGGGGTTCTAGAACTTGCCCAGTGAAATAGGCTTCTTTCAAAGCCTTTACAGAGTATAGTACCTTAGGTGGAATCCTGAGTTCCATCCAGAACCTTCTGAGGTGGGACATTCCCACTAGCAAGGACAAGCAGACCAGCCTGGTCTATCTAGTCTGCTAGATCAACAGAGGATACATCTTCAAAGAAAAATCATCAGGAAAACCCCAGAACAAAAATGTCAGTATGACTGGCTACTACAAGAATAAGCAAGCTATTCTCCAGGAAGCCATCAATGCAAGCAATATAGTTCTTCTTCAAGATAAATTCCCCTTTAAAACTGAAACTCAAAGGGAACACTGGAACAGGCATGTAAGCTTGCTGGCGACCACATTGTTCTACTGGTGAGTGGAAGAGGGGGAAAGGCAGCAATGAAGAAATGTGCTGAGTTCAACCACAGTCCATTGACTCCTGTTGACCTGGAGTTGAGAGAGAGAATAGGAATGGCTGGTTGCTCCAAAATGTGGTGAGACCTGGGGACACTTGAGCCCAAGGACAAGGACATAGCCACAGAGGGCTATAGCTAAGAGTGAAGAATCCAGTTGATAGGAAGTGAGGGGAGATGCACAAGAACACCCAAACTTGCAGATAGTACCCATTTGACCTTGCCTCGATGGCTTGAAAATCAGAACTCGAATAGAGGAAGATTACCAAAAAAATAAAATAATTAAAAAAAATTTTTGATAAAGGAAACAAGGGTAAATTGCTACAATTTGATGAACCTGACCTATACTCATGGAGGTAGTAACTCTAAATACCAACAGAGAGGGAAGGAGTCTTCACATCAAGTATCAATGCTATCCTTCTGTACACAGAGTAGAGAGGGACGGGCGACTTAGACATTTGGCTACCTAAAATGAGGGGTGATAAAAGGCACGAAGTGACTGTCTTACAAGGTTTCAAGAGGGAGTTTAGTTTAAGAGTATGGGGGGAAAGAAAGAGTCCCCACTAAATAGTTTTCATCTTGTCTAGAAAGGTCTGGTGAAAAGAGATGGGAATAAGATTGGTATGATTCAAGAGTGAATAATTGTTATCATGACTAATTGTGAATGTCACAATTGTAAAGGTGGAAGTTTTGTAACAAAAACAGGGGAGTGTTTAATCTTACAGTCCAGAAACAGAGGGCCCTAGGACCATTAAGGAAGAAGAGCACAAGCAGAATGTGGGACCTTATCCAAAGAAGCAGCAACACCGGAGATGGAGGCAGAGATGGGGTCATGGAGACAGGGAGCGGCTGAGGACTCTAGATTCATGGGAAGAAAGGGACTGAGAGCTGGTGGCCAGGAGGCTGACTTACAGAATGTGCCCTTTAGAGGTGTAGATTATTATATATGCCTGAGTGTTTTGTTTTTTTTTTTAAAAAAGCTTACGTGAATACAGAGAAATACTGTTAAGTGTATTAACAGGAAGGGATTATAATCATTGTAATGAAACAAGGTGTACGATTTGTTGTATGTAAAACTGAATAAAAACCTTTAAAAAAAAAAAAAGCAAAAGTAAACAAAGTATATTGATTGGATGAAAATGTTTGAACACTACTGCTTATATGGTTTCTGTTTTGCTAGGATACAATGCAACTGTCTTGGCCTATGGGCAGACTGGCTCTGGGAAGACCTATTCAATGGGAGGTGCATACACTGCAGCACAAGAGAATGAACCAACAGTTGGAGTCATTCCTAGGGTAATACAACTGCTTTTCAGAGAAATTGATAAAAAAAGTGACTCTGAATTTACTCTGAAAGTATCTTATTTGGAGGTAAGTGATTTTTCTTTATTCTGAATTCAACATTATCCTTAGATAAAAAATGTAAACCCAAATAAGGTTTTTCTTATTATGACTCAAATTAATATGTACAGTTTTAGTACATTAAATATAATAAATTGTTAGAGAAAACTTATTGGCTCCATTGAAGCTGGCTCCCATCTGGTTCTTTCCTTGTTAGAATAGTTTGTTTAATCTGATAGAGGAGTTAGCATTGCCATAAAAAATGATTATAGGAATTCTTTAATTCTAATTTGGCCTCAATTACTGATTCCCTGTGGTATCTTCAGGAAGGTATTTGATTTCTCTTTTCTGTTTTGAGGCTTAAGTGATAATGCTGCTGCTTCATGAAGAATATAACAATTGGGTTAAGTATTGAGCTGTGTAAGTGGTTATAAAATTTGTTTATTCAACAGATATAGTGCCAAACCCTGTTTTAGGCATTTGGTTATATCAGGTACTTGGGATATATCAAGGATCCTTGGTGACGCCATGGTTAAACTCTTGGCTGCTAACTGATAGGTCAGCTGTTCGAACCCAACAGCCACTCCATGGGAGAAAAATTGTGGCATTCTTCTATAAAGATTTCAGCCTTGGAAACCCTATGGGCAGTTCTGCCCTGTCCTGTAGGGTCACTATGAGTTGTAATCAATTTGATGGCAATGAATTTAATTTTGGGTTTTGGGATGTATAAGTGAACAAAACAAATAAAAGTCCCCGCTCTTTTGGGAGCTTACTTCTAGTGTTTATCAGTATACACACAGATTGGCTAGGTCTTTCTGACCTCAGGATATGAAAGACACATGTTTAGGGAACTTAAGACTTCAGGGAACCTAGCTGGTTAATTCCATAGCAGAGATAGAGAAAATGTGGGTTATGTCTTGTCTTTAAGAAGATTTACATAATTTAAATATTAATATGTTAATGGGAATAGAGTTGTAGAGGTGGAGGAGGGGGAGTAAAACATGAGGATTATTATTGGTATATGCTGTCACCTGGATCCAATTCATAGTTACCCTGTATAGGGTTTCCCAGGAGCTGCTGGTGAGTTTGAACTACCAACCTTGTGGTTAGCTTGTTGTTGTGAAGTGCCATTGAGTCGGTTGCAACCCATAGCGACCCTGTAAAGGGTTTCCGAGGAGCAACTGGTGAGTTTGAACTGCTGACCTTGCAGTTCAAATGGCTTTGCAGTCTGTGCATTAACCCACAGCGCCACACCAGGACTCCTGTGGTTAGAAGTCCAGTGCTTATCCTAAAGCCCCACACTGAAAGTCCTATAACAGCAACAGTATCAAAGAAATACAGTGCTTATGTCAGTGTTTTGTTCTGTTGTACGTAGAGTCACTATGAGTCAGAACCTACTTGACGGTAACTAACAACAGTAGCAATATGCTAAAACACTGTTCTAAGCACTTAAAAGTTTTGGATGTTATTGAAATATTGGTTGCCACTTCTCCCTTTTGTCTTCTTTTTGCTTCCCACCTCCACCTCTCAGTAAGGACCCATTTAAGGACCCATGGTTTTAACAAAATCGGTGACAGTGATGTTGTTATAACTCCATAAATAACTGAATTTGAGCACACACATAGATATTCTTTGTATTTTCTGTTCCCAAGAGACTCTGTCTTAAAAGAGCAGTGTCAAATTTGGTACAAATAACGTACGGATTCATTCTTCTAAGATACAAAACCATTACATTTAAGATTAAAGAGATTTTTGTAAATATAAAAATAATGCATGTTCGCTGCAAAAAAATAATTTAGGAAATATAGAAAAGTCACAAAGAATGAAAAAAAAAATTGCCTATGATCCCACCACCCAGAGATTACATGTTAATATGTTTTTACCTCTTTATTTTCAATAATACCAGATCTACAATGAAGAAATCTTGGATCTTTTATGCTCATCTCGTGAAAAAGCCTCTCAAATAAATATACGGGAAGACCCTAAAGAAGGCATAAAGGTGTGTTTGTCTCTTACTTGATGTTATTAAAAAATTTTGAAGAGTACTGAAAATCAAATCTCTTTTATTTGGCACTATGGTTTTTAATGATTAGTCACTATGAGTAGAAACCAACTCGACAGCATACAACAGCAACATCTCCGTTTTCTAGATTTTGTGTGGGCCTAATTCCCTTTATTGGAGTCCTGGTGTGGTACTGTTGGTTAATCAGCCAGACTCCATAGCCGTTTGAACTGCAAGGCAGCAGTTCAAGCTCAACAGCTGGCTCCTTGGAAACCCTATACAGGGTCGCTATGGGTCGAAACTGACTCGACGGCACTTCCCTTTATTAAGGAGCTCTTGTGATGCAGCAATTAATGCACTTGGCTGCCAACCAAAAGGTTGGCCGTTCAAACCCACCAGCTGTTCCACTGGGAAAAGATGTGATATTCTGCTTCTGTAAAGATTTACATCCTAGGAAATGCAATGAGGCAGTTCTACTCTATGCTAGAGGGTTGCTATGAGTCAGAATCTACTCTGGAGCTGTGGGTTATTTAATTCCCTTTATTATTCGAGTTCCTAGATTCTTAGGGGGGACAAAGGTTTATCAGTTTATCACATTCCTGTTACCTTTTGAATGAATGCTAATATCAATGAAGTATTTATTATTTTCAGAGTTCTAAGGCTGTGCTATTAGCCACAGTGGTGTTTTAAATTTAAATTAATTAAAATTAAATAAAATTTTAAGTTCAGTTCCTCAGTTACACTAGGCACATATCAAGTTTTCAGTAGCCACATATGACTAGTGGGTATCATATTTGATAGTGCAGATATAGAAGATATCTATGGTCAAAGAAAATTATATTGGATAGCACTGTAACAGACATTATACTAGGATCTGGGATGATATATAAAAAGTGAAAAGTTAAATAATATAAAAATTTTTAAGTCTAAGTGCCATAGGAGGAAACACATTTATTTGAGAGGCTTCTGTCACCTGACATAGATGTAAGATGAAGAGCTAGAGCTGAACAGAACATTTGAGGTAAAGTTGAAAGTTTCATATATGGGAATGGGCAAAATCCAGAAGCCATTCTTGAAAATAGGCAAAACTGAGCATACCTACCAACTTCAGCATACCCACTCTTACTTGTTGACATAGTTAGGTTCCAAAGACCAGATCATTATTGCAAAAACCATCATTATGTGAAAATGGGGGAGATGATAAAATGAAAGATGACTATATCATTCTATAACTGACACATCACATCATTGCATTACTGTCAAATCACAGAGAATGATGGCTTAATCAATATGACACATAACCTTAACCATCACAGCAATGTTACTCTTATCTCACACCTCAGTGTATGTTACTGCCAGATGTCAGTCATTAATGCACAAAATAGTCGGGTAATAGATTTTTTACTATCATTGTAAATGCAAATTTTCAGATAGCAAGGTAGTCTATAGTGAGGAGTAGGTATATTCAGGAGTGGGAGAATCATAGCCTAGAATTTAATGAGAATATGTGGAACAGACTTAGGGAAACTTGGTAAGATATACGGTATGATGATTCAATGAAATAGTGATAGTGGTGTGCCATGGAGTCAGTTCCGACTCATAGCGACCCTGCATTGGGTTTCCGAGGCTGTAAATCTTTCTGGGGAGGAGAAAGCCTTCTCTTTCTCCCGTGTAACTGCTGGTAGGTAGTTTTGAACTGCTGACCTTAAGGTTAGCAGCCCATCTTGTAACCACTATGCTACAGGAGCTCCTTAATGAACTCATATATGCTCAATATTATCAGAGTGCCTGGTAGAGAAAAAGGAGCTTTGATGGTGTGTAATTAAGCACTGGTTACTTAATTACACACCACCAAATAAGGTTACTGGTACAAACCTAATAAAAGCTTTGTGTGAGACAGATGAGGCTCTCTGCTTCTATAAAGATTTCATCTCAGAAACGCTATGGAGCATTTCTGCTCTGTCTTATAGGGTCACTTTGAGTCAGAATTGACTTGGCAGTGATTTTTTAGTTTGGTAAAATATTATCCTACCCATCTTCCTGAACTTCCTTTCTTCCTTTGCCCAAAAGAAGAAAAAAACATTTAAGGGTTGAAGTACAGGCACATGTGCTTCTGATTCCTCCACCCCCACCCCACCCATCCCCGCTTTTGGGTCATTATATTGTTAGCCAGTTGCTAAGGCAAGGCTTGAAGGATCATCCCTATTTTGAAAGCTTGATTAGCTTGTAATACAGGAAGATGGTTTGGATAGTGGAATCAGAAACTTGGATAAGCAACCTGGACAAAATGCATGCTATCACTAGGAAGAAAATTGGTACTGAGCTAGCTCTTGACCCTGTTCTAAGATCGGTTTCTGAGGAGCCGCTGGTGGGTTTGAACTACTGACCTCATGGTTGTTGTTGTTACGTGCCGTCAAGGCGGTTCTGACCCATAGCGACCCTGAACAGGGTTTCTGAGGCTGTAAATCTTTACGGGAGCAGAAAGCCTCCTCTTTCTCCCACGGAGCAGCTGGTAGTTTCGAACTGCTGACCTTGCGGTTCGCAGCCCAGTTCGTAACCACTACGCTACCAGAGCTCCTTGACCTTGTGGTTAGTAGTCCAGTAATTATCCTATCCACACCAGGACTTCCTAGGGGAGATTGGAGACCTTGATTTCCAGTGATCTTCATAGAGTTGCTAGTTAAAACAGTCTTCATTTCATGACTATGCTATTTCTTGAGATTCTAGTGCATTCGAAGGCAATTTTTAAAATCACCAATTTGTAAATTTTTGATCAAGTGTTTGAACCATGGTATGGTAATTTTCTTTCTCTGAATTAGATTGTGGGACTCACTGAGAAGACTGTTTTAGTTGCATTGGATACTGTTTCCTGTTTGGAGCAGGGCAACAACTGTAGGACAGTGGCCTCCACAGCTATGAATTCTCAGTCGTCCCGATCTCATGCCATCTTTACAGTTTCCATAGAACAAAGAAAGAAAAATGACAAGTAAGTTATAATTTAAATAGTCAAGATTTTTAATATTAATACTCTTAAAGACAAATGTAAGGCTGCTTCATTTCAGCTGTTTTGAATAATCATTAGCCATCATTGCTGTGAGCACTATGAATCAATGGAACCATGTTGACTGACTGAAAAGAAAACGAAAGCCAGCAAAACAGCTTTGATAATTTAACTACTCTCAAGCTTGTTGATTATTTCATTTGTGTCTTCTATCTTTAATATAGAGATAGCAGCTTTCGCTCCAAGCTGCATCTTGTAGACCTTGCTGGATCAGAAAGGCAGAAGAAAACCAAGGCTGAAGGAGACCGTCTTAAAGAGGGTGAGAGAGTAATAAAAGATACTGTTGTAGATAAAAACCTCTAGTACTCTTATTAATGTCTTGATTAGGATATTTCAGATCACATTCTAACAGTAGCTACAATTCAAGTTTGAAGCTAATATCAGAAAAGTGAAAATTTGTTTAATTCCCTTGCACTCATTATCTAATTTAGGTATGAGATTTGGATCTGGCTCTTGATTTGATTTCATCTGGTCCAGGCAAGTTTTAGTTTTTGTTTTATTTTACCCCCAACTACTCATAATTAAAATCAGTATCTGTATTCTGTCATCTCAAGTATTCACTATCTTTCCAGTTGTTGTCACTTATGAACCTCATCAGCATGGTTTCCATATCTTCATTCAAGTTTTTGAATATAAATGATGAATGAAACTCCTAAGGCTAGAACCCTATGGTCTATGCTGTTAGAAACCTTTATCTAGCATGGTAGTGATCTGGTAATCTGCATGCTTTGGGAATGGCCCTTCAAGCAATTATTAACTATATCTAACACCAATTAACATCTAGTTCATATTTCTCAACTTTTTTCCTAAATATTTCTAAAAAGTATTTTGTCAAATGCCTTGTTACAGTCCAGATATTGTATGTCTGCCATATTTCTCAGGGCTACCATCTTAGTAATAGCCCAAAAGACAAATGAAGATTAGTTGAAACTGATTTTTTCTTGGTGAATTCAAGTTGGTTTCTAGTGCTCATTGTTCCATTTTAGGCTCTTGTAAGCCATGCCTATAACAATTAACTCTAGATTTACATCAAAATCACTGGTCTATAATATATGGAATTAATTCTTACCTTTTTTTTTTAATTAAAATTACATCTGCCCAGTCTTCTAGAACATCTTCCTACATACTTCTTCAAAAATCATGAACATAGTTTCAGCAGTCTCAGTTGAAATTTGGGCTCTTGTTAAAGTTGTTGGGTTCTCACTACCTCTTTACTAATACTGCGTTTCAGCTTTTGGGGAACAGAGAAGGCAGAAGCAAAAAGAGTAATCGAGGGATTTTACATCTTTGTCATTTGTCATTATTATACTATTGTCATAGGGCAGAAAACTATTTCTTAACTCAGATTTTTTTTTCTTTTGAAATTTTATTTATTTTAATATTGTTGGGAATATATACAGCAAATCATACATCAATTCAACAGTTTCTACGTGGACCATTTAGTGACACTGATTACACTCTTAGAGTTGTGTAACCATTCTCACACTCCTTTTCTGAGTTGTTCGTCTCTCATTAACATAAACTTAGTGTCTTCTAAGGTTCCTGTCTAATCTTTCAAGTTGTTGTTGTTAAGTGGAGCAGTAAGTCTCATCTTTCTCCCATGGTGGTGGTGGTGAAGTGCTATTGAGTTGGTTTCAACTCAGCGACCCTGTACAGGGTTTCTGAGGAGCAGCTGGTAAGTCTGAACAACTGACCTTGTGATTTGCAGTCCAGTTCTCATCCTACAGCACCATACCAGGAGCCCATAATCTTTCAAGTAGTTCTTGTCAATTTGATCCCATTTAGATAGTTCTTAAGAAGAGCATAATGCTCAAGGCAGACCTTTTTTTTACTAGTTAAACTAAACTGTTTGGTTTTAAGAAGACTTTTGTGAATATTTGGTTTAAGTTTTAAGATTATCTGAGGCCAGTAGTTTCAGTTCATCTACCCTCTATGACACCAGAAATTCAGGAGTTTATGAGCTTCATTTAGCTTTTTGTTTGGAATGTATTTAAAAGTGCCCTTTTTGTTGTACCCTTTGCACTTTGAAATTTGACCTCTTAATACTACTTTTAGAGGATCTTTTATCTTTTTTTAAATGTACAGTTCCTAGTTTTTAGTTTTTAAACCAGCTTTATTGAGATATAATTCATATACCATAAAATTTACGTATTTATTCACCAAATCACGAATTCAGTGGCTTTTACTATATTCATGGAGTTGTGCAACCATCACTGCAATCAATTTTAGAATATTTTATAACCTCAAAAAGAAACCCCATAACTATTAGCAGTCATTTCCCATTCCCACCTCCTTCTTTAGCCATAGGCAACCACAAACATACTTTTTATATAAATAGAATCACATGGCGCTTTGTGACTGGTTTCTGTCATTTAGCATAAGGTTTTTACATGTTGTACCAAATATACATTTTATGGTTATAACACATTTTTTGCTTTTTTTGTTTTTCTTCCGTTTTATTCAGTTGTGGTGTCATATGATAAGCACTCGATCTCAAGGTCGGTTTGAACTGCCAGGTCGGTGGTTCAAACTCATCGGCCACTCCTGGGAAACCCTATATAAGGTTGCTATGAGTCAGAACCCACTCGACAGCCCTTAACAACAGCAACAAAGATAGCAGCTCTATGCATAAAGGAGCTCTGGTAGTGTAACGGATTACAAGTTGAGCTGCTAACCACAAGGTCAGTAGTTTGAATCTACCTGTTGCTCTATGAGAGAAAGATGACACATTCTGCTTCCATAAAGATTTGCAGCCTCGGAAACACTATACAGGATAGCTAAGAATCAGAACTGACTCTACGGCATCATTACTCTAGGAATAAGGAACCCTGGTAGCATAGTGGACTAGTTTGAATCTACCAGTTCCTCTGCAGGAACAACAATGGTAACTCTGTTTAACGTTTTTTTTTTTTTTTTTTTTTACTTCTTTTTTTAGTCTTTTACAATAATGGTCTTATGCAGTATTTCTCCTTTTGTTACTGACTAATTTCACTCACCTTAGGGTCCTCAAGGTTCATCCATGTTATGCGGTGGCTTGCATTCCTTGTTGTTCTTCAAGATAGCATAGTATTCCATTGTGTGTATGTACCACAGTTTATCCATTCTTCAATTGTTGGGCATTTAGGCTGTCTCCATTGTTTTGCTGTTGTAAATAGTGCTGCTATGAACATTGGTGTGCATATATCTACTCGTGTTATGGCTCATATTTCTTGTGGATAAATACCAAGTAGAGGAATTGCTGGATCACAAGGTATTTCTATTTCCAACTTTCTGAGGAAGCGCCATACTGTTTTCCAGAGTAGTTGGACCATTTTGCAATCCCACCAGCAATGTAGCAGCATCTCAGTCACTCCACATCCGTGTCAGCATTTATTGTCCTCTACTTTTTTAAACTTCACTGTTATTGCTGGTATGAGATGATATCTCATTGTTGTTTTGATTTGCATCTCTTTAATAGTTAATGATCGTGAACATTTCTTCATATGTTTGTTGGCTGACTGAATATCTTCCTTGGTGGAATGTCTGTTCATGTCCTGTGCCCATTTTTAAATTGCGTTATTTGTCTTTTTCTTGTAGAGGTGTTGTAGTTTCCTATATATTTTTGAAATTAGTCCCTTGTCTCATACGTCGTTGCAAAAGATTTTTTCCCCGTTCTGTGGGCTCCCTTTTTACTCTTTTGGCAAAGTCTTTTGATGCACATAAGTTTTTAATTTTTAGTATGTACAAATCATCGTTTTTATCTTTTGTTTGTGCAATTTTCGCAACAACAATTTTTAGAGAGATGGAAAAAACAGTTACAAACTTCATATGGAAAGGAAAGAGACCCAGGATAAGCAAAGCACTGCTTAAGAAGACAAACAAATTTGGAAGCCTCTCACTCCCTTATTTCAAAATTTACTGCACGGCTACAGTGGTCAAAATAGCCTGGTACTGTAACAATGAAAGACACATAGATCTGTGGAACAGAATCGAGAATCCAGAAATTAACCCATCCACATACAACCAACTGATCTTTGATAAAGGGCCTAAGTATATTGCATTGGGAGGAGATAGTCTCTTCAACAGATGGTACTGGCAGAACTAAAAATCGATATGCAAAAGATTGAAACAAGACCTTTACTTCATGCCATATACAAAAACCAACTCAGCAAGGATTAAAGACCTAAATGTGAATCCCAGAATTATAAAGGTTATCAATGAAAAAATAGGGACAAATGTGAGGGCCCTAATACAGGGCACACAGAGGCTACCAAACAATGCATTAGTTTTTGACTGAAGACTTTTTTTACATATCAGTTATTATGTGAGTGTGTCCTCTAACTTTTTTGGTTTGATAAAGATTGTGTTAAATCTATAGATCAATTTGTATAGTATTTTCATCTTTTTTTTTTTTTTTAACATATAGTCTTCATTTATCTTTTGTAATTTTTCGCAACAATGTTTTTTGTTATCAACCTTCAAGTTTTACATACGTTTTGTTAAATTTATCTTTGATTACTTTTGTTTGGTGTGATGCTGTGGGATAAGAATTGGACCATAAGGTTGGTTTGAAGCACAAGTTCAGCAGTTCAAGCTCACCAGTTAGTTGCTCCTTCGAAACCGTATATAAGGTTGCTATGAGGTGGGACTGACTCAATGTTTTATTGTAGAGTCCTGGTGTAGCACTCTAGGATAAACACTGGACTGCTAGCTACAAGGTCAGCAGTTCAAACTCATCAGCTGCTCCTCAGAAACCCTATAAAGGGTGTATGAGTTGAAACCAACTCTAGGGTACATAACAGCAACAACAACAACAATTTTATTGTGTTTATTTACCTATTTTAATTATTTGTTGAAAGTTTACATAGTAAATTAAGTTCCCGTTTAGTGTATTGACCTACTAATATTGCATCTTTTGATTCATAAACGTGATATCTTTCTGTTGATTTAAATAATCCATTGTCATCAAGTCGATTCCGAATCGTAATAACCCTCTTTAGGATTTCTGAGACTGTAAGTCATTACAGAAGCTGACAGACTCAGATTTCTTCTATAGAGTGACTGGTGGGTTGAACTGCCAGCTTTGCAGTTACAAGTCCGTTTATTTAGGTGTTTATTTTCTGTCAATACTTTTTTTTCCATTTTCAGAATATAAATTTTATACTTATTTTGTTAAATTTAAATTTATTCCTACATGTTTCATTATTTTTAATGCTATTATAAAATGAATTTTTTTTAACTTTCATTTTCAAATTATTAGGTCTAGAAAAAGAACTGAAT